CTCGTGGCCAGTTGATTCTTTTCGTTTGCTTGCTGTTGTGGACTTTTTCGCGAGATTAGGCCTGCCACAATAGAGTGTATATGCCATTTATCGTAGATGAGAATAAGCTCTTCGATAGACGATTTGACCTTCCTTTTCAATACCTTTAGCTAAATGATTAAAGAAGGAAAAAGCACTACCTCGATTAGTTATTGTTAATCGTCTATTCGTGTCGCCGTTGTTGTAACTTTGTTTCATTATTGTTATACAATAAGACAGAGAACTGGTTAGGCAACATGACAGCCGATTCGTGCTTTATGTCCAATACCTGAAGATGAGCTACGCTTCGTACGGCCTGGCAGCGCGGAACGGATCATTAATTTCTGTCTACGCTGGCTTTCAAGATAAAACCATCACAGGCTAAAAGTTGCCAAACTTAGCATGTAAACATGTTACGACGAAGCTCCCACGGGGGTCAGCGAACGAGCAACAGCAGTGATGCCACCAGTACTAACTATAATAGTGATTATTACTCGGGGGCTCGTTCTCTCTCATAATTGGTCTAGTAATAATACCTAGATACCAGATCTAAACGGTTCGACGGTGGCAGTCTATTGCCTTGCATTGTCTCTTGTCTGCTGTTTTTGTACAATAGTTCTTTGCACTTTTCCCTTCACCCGTTTCCAATTTCTGGGTACTAGGCACTGTTTCTGCTAGCGGTTTATCGGTCTGGCTTCCGCGGCTACTTTCAATTGCTTTTATCAAGAGTTCACTTTTCAGGCGCAATGACCAGCGAATTCTAGCAGCTCTTTTATTTTTCTCAGAGCGCCTGCCAGACGCAGACTAGACAATATTGCTAACTCTCGTTGCCGTTGTTACTGCCGCTGCTGCTACGGTGACTATCGGCGATCTGCCGGACCGATCCGGCAGACGATTCATCTGCTGGATTCCTCAAATATGTTAGATGACAGGAAACCCTTTTTGGCCACGATTAAGAAGAGCATTGTCTACTATTCTTTACTTGTATGCCATTCACCGCAGACAAGGACAGAGAGACCTCGCGTGGCACGGCAATAACACTTGCGTGCCCATAGACGGACAAACAGACCTGATTCAACGTCATATCATCGTCGCGCAGTTATCATAATTATTATCGTCGCCCTTTTTTTTTGTGTACCTACGTATAATGTCAGCCACCGCCACCGCCGCCCTTTCTGTGACCATCGACGTTGCCGCCTCCATGTGGGCGAATCGTTGCCTCGTACCAGGTAGTGGTCACAATTAGCACTGATGATTTTCGTTCCCGTTCTGCGCTGTTTGCTGTACCAGTCAGATTCGTCGTTATGGCCTTCATCGCCGTGGCGGTCCCTTCGTCGCCTGTCGTCTTCTGATAGCATCCCCTTTCCTCTGCTCTCTTTGTCTCTGCCTCAATGCCAACCCTTCCTCTCACGCTTCGGTAGACGTTACTACAAGCAGACAACCTGTTTATATCAGCGGTAACACGTACCATTGTGCCCTAAGCTATCTTATAGCCGTTGGTGGCCTCATGCCGTAGCTGGTAGAAGTCCGCTACATCCTTTTTTCTACGTCTATCCTTCTTGTTGCCAGCCGCCGCAGTCACGCGCATCGTGGCCGCTGTCGTTCTCGATGTCGATCTCGATGCTTTGCCGGAGGCGCCACCAACCGAGACAACAGCAGCCGCCGCTGTCACCTGCTTCCCTCCCTCTTTTTCTCTCCGCCCACTGCTGCTCCATTTGCAGCTGTAGGCACAGCGTTGGTGTTACGTTGAGTTCAGCAGCTTTCCGTTGATTCGTTCGCTGCTACTGGTTCTCGGCGTGCCTCACCGTGCCCTTACGTTGACTAGTACTGATCCAACCAGCAGCAGCTCGGACAGACAGTAACTGGTCCGACCGGCCAATCATCACCGGAGTGCGCTCGTTCGACTCGTCGAGGATGTTAAATAGCTGTCAGTTCAAATCTTTATTCGTTCAATGTATAACAGGTGTATACGTTAGTGCTCACCTGATAATTCAGGTGCCATACGGCCGTTAGCCGAAAGGACTGGCCATAGTATGACAAAGAGAAGTCTCTATAGCAATTGGCCTACGGTGTCAGCGGCGGCGGCAGCAATGGCGGTGGCAGACGCAGCGATGGCGTCTGAGACGAGTTGACGACGCCAATTGACGATTTTATTCCGAATGCGAACGGTAACAGTTAAAGGTGAGACGATCAGTCGGTGAACAGTGCAACATATGTCTATCAGGCTCTGACGCGGGCGCATTAAGGTTCCCCTCTTTGATGTAGCTGTCTATGTTTGAAAATCGCGAAGGCTAAAGTAAAACATCGACTGAAGGAGAAAAAACACAGTAACAGTGGCGGTTTATGCCATTTATACTAACCACAATGATGGTTGCCAACTTGTTGACACTCGTTCTGTCGCTGCTGCTGCTGCGACCTGCAATTCCTTGCTGTGCTCGTTCGTGTCTTTGTGGCCCACTGGCAATAGATTGAATGCGTCATACGACAGGGAGCGTTCAGTTGATGAACTCTTGGACTCTGCGAATCAACTAACAAAGTGGTGGTCACCTAAAGGCTTCGCAAGCGCTATCAATCAGAGCCAACAGTGGCGAGCGATCCTACGAACGGTAGTAGGTCATTAGTTATGGACCTCTGACATGTCGTGGCCCGCCAAAATCGTAGTGAGTTGGAAACCTGAGCACCAAGGAATTGCCCTGACTACTGCTTGTGAGATCGACGCATATCCACGTCATTAGATTACTACGTACAACTAATTGTCATGTATATTTTATGAAGTTACGCGAGAGAACTTATTATATTGATCGGTCGCGATGCAGTCGCCTTATTCATGACCCATTGTTAATCACGGTCAACGAGCATCACATGGTCACAAACTCTCGAATGCTCGCCCTGTCGCCAGACGTAGCGTCCCGCAACGCGTGGCTGTAAACTTGCGTCTAAGGCACCGAGGTTATCTCGTTTAAATTTTTTTCTCTTTCTCGCTCGCCCTTCCCCGGCCCTCTCGTTAACGCGCGCGCTTTTTGAATATCATTATGGCAGTCCGTGGTGGGTGTGCCCTTGTAAATGCCAATATCGAACCCCACACGAAAACTCCCACGCCCGGCTTAGCCTTCGCAGACCAGTGTGCTGGTACTGTTATAGTCGTATTTCCACTTCACCGACGCTGCGCGAAAGACTGTTCTATTCTGTGTGTAATTGGCGTGCTGTTTTAGCCGTGCCTTTGCTGGCTGAGACAGGTGGCACGAGATACAAGTGAAAGCTTCTTGTCACTACACGGTCAAAGCGGTTCTGAACCCCTCATACCCCCCTCCCTCCCCCCTCCTCGATCGCCTACTCTCTGGCCTGCACGAAACGTCACTGCTGTGCTGACGTAGAATAGTTCCTTGCCTTCGCTGTTACCTGAAACGATCGCGATGATGATTTACCACTTCTAGAATGGATTGAACGGAAAGACGCTTTTAAAAGCAGCACCACAGCAGCGTGATGCATTGCGAATGCGTTTCATGTATGATGGATGATAGGTCTGAGAAAGACGAGGCTGCTGTGGGCCCAGAGCGGGGCCACTGCGGCCATGGATTGTTATCTGCCTTGCTGCACTCTCTATGATAATCGTAAGAGATCTGATGGCGCCCACTGTCGTAACCCTTCGTTGCTCCTTCTATGCTGTTTACTGTCACTAAGCAACGATACGAATACGGTGGCTCCAACTAATTGAAGCCGGCGGTCAATCAGCAATCATGGAGAACTGCTTGATTTGTCCAGTGGGTATAGCAATAAAGTATGCAGAAGGCGAGAGTAATATGGCCGCGTCTGCTGCTTCTATCGAGAACCGGCACCGACAACAATAAAAATATTACGAACTTTTTTGCCATTTCCAGAACGTCACGTTTAATCTAAATCGTTTTGTTTTCCTCGCATAACTATTTATTATAAGATTAGTGGTTCGCATAAAGCCATGACATAATCAACATAAACCGCACCTTTATGATCACTTAGGTCAGTCAACGCTGAAGTGGAGTACTCCGAGTATTGTATATCTATAGTACTCGTCGTGATGTCGGCAGGCCTCCTCTTGACGTTATCAGTTGGGTCGAGTTGGACAGTGTTTAGAGCACTCGAGTATATACCGAGGATGACAGTATACAAATACCCCAGAATTTAAAATTGCGACACGAACGGCTACGACAGCGGCGTTTTGCCATTGATTATGTGTTGTAATGTCAAGCAAACAAATTCTTCTATGTCCGATCAAGATAAATGCGTTGCCATCCGGGAAGTGAGACGGTGTCGCGCGTTGACGTTGCCTCTGCCCACCTTGATCAAGCCCAAGAAGTTTTAGGAAGGCAACCCGTGTATGAAGGTAATGCTGTCCGATACTATAGTATGACACCATAGTTCAATTATGGGGGTGCCAGGACACACAAACGCATACACGTATGATCATGTATGTGTGATGACGGCCGCAGCCTGCGTGAACGACCTTTCTTGTTGGCCTATTTGTCGGCCCCTTGAGTTAACATCCTGCTCATCTCCCGCCGGTATTGCCAGCGACGCCATGTTGTCTATGTGCGGTCGGATGTACAGGTGTCGCCTATGCGATGTTAGGCGGCCGCAGTAGCAGCGAGCGCTAATCGTAATAGGAGTGATAGCGACTACGACCAGCTATTGTGAAGATCCGGCTTGTTTGAGATAATGGAGCCATTGCGCTAGAGCAATAGTTGGTGGCCGCGACAACAGGATCAGCGCGAGATCGGTCGTAACACAGTCTGCTGCTGCGGCGGTGACAGCGCTCGTCGTTGACGGCAAGACACCGAGAGAGCTTGCTGGCCACTGGAACGCGCAGTATTAGGTGGGACGCAGCGTTACTGTGCCGGTCCAATTTTGGGTGGCTAAATGGGAGCAAGTTAGCCAGGAGAGCGTCATGGCATCATGAAACGGTTCCAGCAGAATAGCTCCACGCGACGGCGCTAGCAAAGGTGTCGCCGCCGCCGTTGCTGCTTCCCGTTCGCGGGTCGCCGGCGATACTCGAAAGAATAAAAGAAAGTAATCGCACGATTAGCGATCGGTTTCCACTGTGGCAGAAGGAGCTCCTCAAGTCGTTTCATGTCTCGTTCCACATACGCTTGTCGGAACGCCGCGTCTGCGATAGCGAGCTTAGCGGTCGCTGGTCCAGTGATCTGATGAATTATATATCGAAATTTTTCCAGTGCGACCGTTGTTAACAGATGGGATATCAATACTGCCAATGCTACAACAGGGAGTGGCTTGTGAAGAATGAGAGGTACGAAGTGAAATCAATTTGCTCAATGCATACTGGAATATGGTTCAATGGATAATCGGAAGCTGGCCTCATGTCATCTTCAATTTATATGCCTGACATCGATGATTGATTAACAAATTATCCTAAAGACCAAGCTTTCTATCAAACGTTACGTGTTGTTTTGCTTAAGTGCAGTAATGCCGACATTGAACGACCTGCGTGTATATACAACGCATATTCAGCTAGGGATGATAAACCTAATGTGTTCCGTTCGTTGGGTGCCTGGCAGGTGGCAGACTCACCACGCCTATCACGTAATAGTTACTTTCAATTTGGCCACTGCTGCTGCCGCGCGGTCAGTAAAAACGTTCACGAAGACAACGTTCTCCATCAGGATACTGCTCGTCAATTGTAATCATCGCTCGGCCCATGAGAACAAACAAACATTTGTTTAATCTGTATATGGGAGGGTTCAGTGCGCGTAAGTGTGGGGAAGGGTCTTTCTAGTGCTGTTTTGTGATAACAACAAAAGCTTAGTTTGATAAGTGAACGGGAAGGTTTCCGGCAACATGTGGAATCTTTAATGATAAAAAGCATGTGCACATTTTACCTACACATGATACCATGAAGCTTTTTTCGACAATTCCTCAAATTGCTGTTATTATAGTGCGTTGCATAATCAGCGATCGACACTCATGTTTTTTCTCCTGAGCAACGGTGCAGAAATTGCTACATGTTAATATCAGATTTAACAGCAATGACAGTATGTTTATTAGTATGGCCGAGTCGGTATTGGTGCTAGCGGGGTGTCACCAAATGCGTTAAACCATGACCTTTGTTTACTCGATGATGATCTTTAACAGCATCGCGTTCGTTCATGTCTGTCCTCCACACATTTTGGCCTCTTAGGCTCCATTACTGAGTTCACCAGTTATCTGCTATTCGACCCTGACCTATTCGGTCGCGGAGTTCTACGATGACGCAATCTTTCCCGGCTTGTGCAAGTTGAGGTTAGACAGGAAAGGGAAGAGGCGGAGGGGACCTAAACGAAGCTATCATGAGTCAATATCGCGAAGCAAGCAAAGAGAGGCCGGAATCCAATGTGAGACGGGACTCTTATCCGGCAGAGACCCACCAATAAGACTTAATTTGATCAAATATAGCTCTAAAACAGTATGTGGTGCAGAAGCTTTCAAGTAAACTCTATGAAATAGAATACCGGATGATTCGCTATAGATCAGTGTCACCTCTAGTGAACGTGTACATATACTGAATGCTATTGGCAAAGTTTACGTTGTAATAGTAGTTGAGCCGCTTTCCCATCAACTAAGTTATGCTGTAAAGTGATAACGTTGTAAGTGTCGAACCAACGACGCTGGCTTCGCCTAGCACACCCTATGCCACATAAACAAAACAGGAGACTTATCTCCTGAGGTACTCTGATGTCGAATCTGTCGACATCATATCGAACGTTTTCCTTCGAAATCATCGTCCTAAAGTCAAATATATGCTCTCCCATTTAGCTCACCACAGAACATAGCTAATATAATGTTCTGCTACTGACAATATGAGAAATGTTGTTTTGTCCTACACAGTACTAGAAGTCTATTCCCGTAAAGCATTTTAGCACACTGGCAGTTTTCTGGCATCGTCATTTTTGCACTGAAACCAGCTTGGCTCAGGGCAGTGAATGCAATTCGAGGCGTGTCCCACACGCCGTCCAGAGCGTGCTGCACATGCCTTCCACCGTATCGGCGTCATGCCTTCGCAGTGGCCGCTATCACACGTGACCTACCCTTTCTCCAAAGAAGCTAAACTGCTAGGGCCAGCAACAGCGGCGGGTAAGGGGGAAACCGGAGTTGCTTTCCAGACAACGACGAAACGGCCTGTTTGACACATTGTAATCCTTGGCTACTGTTATTGGCGATGCCGGCGGTCCGACACGAAGACTCTGTTCCGAAGACGAGGACTCACGTCTCTGGAAGCATCCCGCCAACCTCTGGAATCCACGGTCCCGAAGCGCTTTCTAGGTACCCCCGTCATTCTTACACCATCAGAAGCGAAAGGGCACCGCCAAGACGTGTCGTTGACTAGACCGTAGCTCGTTGCCAGGACTGTACGGTTGTAGCGAATCGTTTTCAACGTTACTTAACCTTTCAAATAGACCACTTGACATGACGGAATAGCATTAAAACGAATGTCAGCTTGGATACCCTGATCTTCTCTGACTCATGTTGTGGAGATAAGACGTGTGTCTGATAATTTCACTCAACTTTTTCCTGTGAAAAGCAGACCACGTGGTTATTGAATTCCTGAACTGGGGCGCTAATGCCGAGAGCACTTAAGGTAGACAGTCAATGGCTCGATCCTATAAGCCGACGCAACTTACTCAGATGTTGATTCAATAGGTCCATTCTGTTTTCGTTGCTACACACAATCCAAAAGGCATGGTGTGGTGATAGCTGTTCTAGCGGGGTGTATTTTATGCATAGACATCAACGCAGATTCAGTTGGCAGGCGCCCACCATATCATTCATCACCAAGTCAGTTAGTCAGTAATTTCGTGTGCTGCTAATATGCGAAATAGACTTTTATGGGTAGTCATCTGTTCGTGTAACTGATGTAAGATATTTGGCTGTTACAGGAGTGAAGTGCAGGGAACGGTGAGGTGGCGCCTTGCTCAAAATTGCACCATGTTCAGCTTTCACAAACCCAAGATTTATCGGTCCGTTCACGGATGCTGTATATGTCGGTAAGTTGTGCCACCAAGACACAGTCTAGTTAAAAGACGTCATTTGAGAAACAATATCATGCATTGGATCCTAAGTTAAACGTATAATACAATATAATTTGCCTGCCCTGTACATTAAGATCAGACTGTTTTTATTTTGAGGGTAACCCAGGGCTTTTACGGTTAAGAAAGCCATCCACTTCTCGGGGCCAAACCCGCACTCATCAGCCCATTTTCTGAGCCCTATCGCGAGTAAACAGCATTACTCGAACCCTCTTGAAAAAAGTTAAGAAATCCAATTCCACTTATCGCACTTTTATCTTTTTCGCATCAAAGGAAAAAAGATGTCCATAAGCTTGAAATTACGAGCGTCAAAACGAACTATTAGAAATCACTATCAAAAATATCAGGACAACGGCGTAGTCATTTTAAATGCGGCATTTCAGTGACAGTCAAACTTTGCCATTGAAGTCTTATGGTCTTCAGTGGTCTGGAGTGTAAGGCCCAACTTGAAGCTTTTAATTGGGCAATATCTCATTCGATTGTTAATCTGTTGTTAACTAATGCTTGCTTTTCCCGAGCACTTCAAAGTATCGGCATTCGTTTTTAAACAAGCACGTCTAGTATCATCATCATCATCGTACTTTCGCCAGTAAAAGAAAGATCGTAGCTTTTTTCATCCTCGGCTAGCTTTTCATTTTCAACTACAAAATCTGCCTTTCTGCTTAATGCTACATATGATTATAGCACTCGATGGATTGGTTTTATGAGAAGTCAAATGAAACGTATTTTCTATTGCATATTCATAATGGTGGATTCAACAGTAGAGAGTTTGGGGCTTTTTTTTTTGTAGCGTGAGGCGATAATTTGATAACGTACGAGAACAAGCCGCCTCTTGTCGCCGATAGTAAAGTATTAACCTGGAGACAATTCTAACTTATTCTATGTGTAGGTGGAACTTCAATGAACTTGCCTTTGCGCTATAACAAACGCTTGCACTGTTATAGTTGGATTCTGTCTTACTTCATAGTATGTTGTGTCCTGTCCAGTGAAGATCATACTGTATAGTAACTTTAAATCGTAATGCTAAAAGACGAGTAGAACTGTAATGTAAAGGCTATCGGGCATATCAGACCGGTTCTATTAGAACTTTCTTGCGTTTTATGCCACAGTGGCCCTATCAATATCACCTCTACGGCCACACTGCAGGGCAAAGACGCTCCTGCGACAAACAGCATGATGAGTAACTCGGTTTTCGGAAAAGCTGAAGCAGAAATAACTGTCCTAATGAAGCGGGCCTAGTTTCCGCTTTGTCGGATCCGTGCATAATTCGAAGTGCACGAAGGGCATTAAAGCCAATAGACAATGAGATATTTTAAAGCATTGCTCTATTAAGGGCGTACGCTCACATTTTTAACTGCTTCGCAAAGTAACATGGAAAGCAATTTAGCTAAAACTGTTTTATGGAGTGCTTTGTCATAAAAGATCGGCCGGTATGGTTCTCTGCGATTTTCCTTGTGTGCTTCATAGGGTGACCCAGACGAGCTAATGCTCTCAGTTCTTCAAAATATAGAAATGGAACTCGATTTTCCTATTAGGGCAATGGGATACAAACAAAGTATATGTTTAACATCCTTATATCTTTCTTCCGCGACGCGACTGTTATGCCTATTTAATACCAAATAGAAGAGAAAAGGACAGAAGCTTTTTTATTTTACGAGGCCAAGGATGACTCTTCTAAGCCTAACAAACAGCATGAAACTAACATAAGCGTCAGACAAGCTAAATGCTTAACACTGAAACTTTCGGTGTGAACGGTTATACCTTAAACATGATCAGAATGTTTTTTCCTATTTGAAAAATCACCACATTTTGATTGCAGTGTGACTGTCAGTGCTTTGTCACTGTTGCTGGGTTTGTTTGCTCGATCGTACTCGACCACAGATACCTTTCTGGCTGTTAATCAGCAATGGAGTTTGTAATCGCATACATCCAGATAGGTGATAGAGTGTTACACCAAACTGGGTGCAAGACAGTCGTGACAGGGAAGTTAAGCACCCTGGCCCGGGGTCGCTGCCTTAGGTGACCCGCCAATGACCTTTACTAAAGAAAGCTTTCTATTAAATGGCAATTCTGAGTATCAATCCGCTGACAGGAGTATAGTTATAGATGTTATGGTAAAACCACGATAAAAAAACAAGGCTCGCAACCCGTCGCTTGCGTAATTCAATGCAAGCCAAGATGAATTCCTTAACTAGAGCGGAAGAACTTCCCGCTGATACTTTTCTGAATTAACCTTTACAACAAACATTCAGTCTAATCTAAACGTTTGATCAAACACCGTATCGAAGTGTCCTTTAATGTAACGAAGCCCGGCATGCGTAGAGCCCTACCTTTGACCTCTCCGGTGATGCGCAAGAACGTCCACGTCCGTTCGTCGTTTTACGCTAGATTATAGTGGGTCTTTGTAGACCTGCTGGCTAAGTCATGCAAGCACGAAACGCTCGATGAAAACTCATTTTTCCAGCAATTTATAGAGTGATAATAATATTGTTATGTTATAAAGATATGAGGAGAGCGAATGTACACGATGCAGTATGAGATGAAATTAGATTTACAGTTCGTTCCCATGTGCATTATATAATTCAGCAGAATTATATAATATGATGGATGATATTTACACCGTTTGACATCGGCTGCTGGAGCCCAATATATATAACTTTTTCAGGCTTTTCCTTTCAATTTTCGTATATGCATAGGTATGTCGTCTGGTAAATTACCACGATTGCATATTTACTACATCGGTTTGTGCTTGTTTTCCAGGGCGAAGTCATCTAGTTCGCGTTTTACGGACTCTGCCAAATACGAATCGGAGTTTGAGAAGTGCTTCAAAATTCGCGAACGACGCACTGGCGAAATCTGTAACGCGTGCGTCCTGCTTGTCAAACGGTGGAAGAAACTTCCCCCCGGAACGACTCGGCATTGGAATCATGTAAGGATAAAATGGAACCAGATGGTGACAAATCGACAGAACGAAACATCAGAACTTCATAATTTTTTTTTTTATTTGATTATCTATATAATGATCCATAGTTCACAGATATAGAAATCGTCTCGATATAGTTGATGAATAAATAGTTCGAATAGAAGATTCGTTACTGAGAGAAAGCAATCGCTTTAGGCGCCGCTCGCGTGTCTATTTCTGTCATTCTGAATTTATATGCAAAGTGTTTCTTTTCGTTGGCCTGTAGAACCTCATTTTAGTAGAACTGACCCTTAATTCGGTGAAATTGCAATAGCGTTTCATGCTTTCAAGGCTGTGCTACTACATGCCACGAAATATCTCCAACACGTAGCTTTGTAAACGATTAGGATTAGTGTGCAGTAACCTGTACCGATGTGCATAGAGCATGATTTCGTGGGTATCAACAGATCCTCACTGGGCTATCGAATTGTTTACTTTGTGACTGCGCTGCTCCTGTGACTCGACGGCAACCGTTATCATATAAGCAAGTTCTACCAATGGAACGAGACTGAGGTCCAGAGGTGAAGTTGCAGTCATATGAATAGTATGCCTAAAACAGGATGGAGGACTTTACTAAGTATATTGAAGGATGGCATCATGGAACTAGTTCCCTAAAGGTCTTAGTGAACCGATTAGAAAGCTCATCCCAGTTTACATTGGTGACAGGTTACTAAAATCCATTTCCTTGGTTGAGTGGAGTACAGGTAGTACTTTGAAACGATCCCTCTACAGGTGGCCCGTTTCCTTCTACAATATAATCAAGACTTTCGAAAGGGTTGTAGAATTTAAGTACAGGCCCATATTAACCCTAAACGCGAGCTTTGTGAACTTCGTAACGCTCACATATCATCTGCTCGCCAGTTCAACTTTCAGAAGTCCAACTTTTAAAGCAATCAAACATCAAAAAGAGAAACGATAATTATTCAGGGAACATATGGCCAAAGCAGTATAGCACTCTGATGTAAATTGATTAACATTAATGGAAACGTATAGATAGCTATATATGTTCAGAATTTAAAAACTAACTTCAATATGCTCCAGTTAGCCTTATTTCAACTTTAAAGCCATCAACACTTGTTAAGTACATATTCGTAATGTACTCAGCCAAAATGACCGATCGATAAAAAACATTTTATTTTTATAATCGAAAGTAGATTTCCGGCGTAAAACTTGAAATGTGTGTATTCGTAAACGAGTCTACTGCCGCCAAACTGACCGATAACAGTAGGCCTAGGTTTCGCTGGCGTAGGAAAGTAATAATACACAACAGGTCCTGCAGATGCTAATGGAGGCCTCAGCTGTGCGCCCCACATTTTACTGAGAAAATGCATTAACGTAACGCCTAGAACCTCTGAAGCTTGATATATGTTTAACATGTGCAGATATTGCTAGCGGTTTATCTGTGTACTTACTTTGAGTCAATATCAGTTTTTATTAAATTTACTTTTCACATATGGGTATGGCGCTGTAGGCCGTTAGTTATCGCACTTGAATTTAACGTTTCTAGCAATGGGAGCTGTTGCAGCACTCCTGAATGCTTAATCATTGTTCCGTACTTCTGTTACGGATACTAGGTGGTTGATGCACGAGCGGGTCCGGGCACTAAAGGCACTCATACAGGAGGTCGGATCGCGAACCCTCATAAACCACTTAAACCACAAAGGCCAAGCAGTAAGAAGAAGCCCATGAAACCACCGCGAAGATTACGCGAGATCGAGTCCTTGCACGACAGCTTGGCGGGGGTCTACGGTGAGGAACGGATCAAGCGGTCGTCGCGGCGGAATAGTGATGGATTCACTTATTACGGTTAGTATATGCTTATGTTACCTACTTAAAATGTTTATAGTCAATCATATAGGTCCACGTCCGCGCTATAGCACACCTGTAGCATCTCGTCTGCAGATGTCACTGTAGCCAGTGTAGTCTAACCGACTATAAAGTCTATTGGCCTGTACAGCACTGAAATTAGAATACTTGTAGGTGTACCGAAATACAAATAGATAAGCTTTTGGAGGATTTTGCGAATTAAATCAAACGCAAAAACACAATAGGTGACGACGTACATCTGCATAACACAGTATACAATTGTGCGTCAGCTGCGGATTACTTGAAAAGGTAGATTTAGCATAGCTCCAAAGTTGTCGTCTTTCACAGTCAGTGTCAGCCATATACAACGTAAAACACATAGCACTGAATTGGCCGGCCGCAATCCAGATAGGTTACTGACGAAGCACCTCATCACCAGTTATATTGTTGTTATTATTATTATTATTATTATTATTATTATTACGTTATATTTGCCGACGTTACAGCTAGATGGTCTGCTGCTGATGATGCAGAAGATTCAGCGTCGACCGTCCTCTGCTCCGACTACTACTACTCTGACTTCTACGAAACCGGCGCAGTCGGCTCTTTCCACTTCTTATCCAATCTATCTCCTTCCTATTGTACTGATGTTCTCAAATAATGATGATAATATTACCATTCCATATGGTAGGCGAGATACAATGACGTCGATGAACGAAAATCGAAGGCGACGACTAACCGTGTTGTGATTGCCAATGAAGCAAGGCCATTTCTGGGCATGTGTGGCCGGAGGCCAGGCCAAATCTGCCAGGTCTCCGTCACTCACGCTCAATCTCAATCATCTCTCAGTATGTAATGCAAAACGCGCTCGCGACTGCACTTCACTAACTGGCGACTTCGCTTCGCTTCGCTTCACTTCTTCACTTCATTCGACCCGAACCCAACCAACCCGTCGACGGACGCATCGTGTACACAACCATGATGGCGTACCTATCGTGCGTGACGGCGGGGGGCGGCGAACTTTCAGAGGATGCAGGCTTTGAGAGCGACAGCTCGATCGAGTCGGATAGCGGCGGTGGTCGCCTAGACGCCGAACCTGAGACGCCCGAGTTGAGTTCGGCGTCGTCCGCCGAAGGTGAAGACGAGGACGATTGGGAGCCAAGAACTCCTGAACGAAGGAAACCGGGAATGAAGGATCCTAAAGAGCATACCGATATCGACAAGGACCAGCTACGACACAAACGGAAAAACTTTAAGCCGCAAAATGCTACGTGCAAGATGTCCTCGTTTATCGACAATACATTCTGGAGAAAGTGAGTAGAGTTTCGTAGATTTTTCCGCCGACATTTTGAAGCTTTAGGCAATAGGTCTATGTGTCGAGAACAAAACATCATATATTCTAGTCTGGTCAAGATCTCGAATAAACATTGTACAATACAGCTTAAGCGTCTACGTTGTCCTCTTAGATATTACGAAAGACCGTAGATTTATGCAATCTGTTGAGACGCATTTTCTCTATACCACATGGGCACCTAATCGACGTCAACAGGATAACCTGTTAGTTTCGCCTCTGAAGCTTTTCACCTTCGAGCACCACTTGTCTAACTCAGATGGCACCTGATCTTGGAGTTCGGTGCTTTAAACATACTGTCCTCCCAATTGACTCGATTACTGTCAGGTACTCTAGCATCTCGTATCGACTTTGAGATCGAAGGTACAGGGTCCAGTTAATGTTGCCACCCCCCACTGCTGGTTTAATATTAGTGGAGGCAGATCATCGTCATGAATGCCCTGTGCTACAAGCTTGGCCCTTTTAAATATAATGTAATCATAGCAATGAGCAGGTACACTGCGAACAGGTATACAGGACATGTTCGGCCTTATAGACCGATGACAAACGGGCGGATCAAAGCAATGATTCTCCTAAATAATTAGCTCGGAAAAGGGGAAGGAAAACCTGCTTTTGGGCCCAACCTGGCTCTGGCGACGCTGATAGCATCAGGAACAATAGATCAGTAATTCGCATCGTCGCCATAATCGCTGTTGCTTAAAAAACAAAGAAGTTTTCGGGTAATCTTACAGAGTTCAGGTTTTGATTCCTCTAAATACGCTAATTAGGAGGCTTCTAGAAGGCAAATAGGTTTTGGTATGACAAATTTAGCTCACTTCTTGTAACAATATTCCTTACATACAGGTTGTCAAATAGTTCGACATATACTGTTCACAAGCGACATTTGTCGCGCAAACTTCTGAATGAGACGTTTGGTACTTGTGCTGGCTTAATACGTTTGAACATTGACGAGAATGGTATCGCCTTCAAGCTGTTCTCGAACAAATAATCAACTGCGCTTGAGCACCAACTATGGTATCCCAGTTCTCTCTTTAGTTAGACGTTTCGACAAAAACAGCGACCGATGCTAAATATTTAAATCACTTCAAAATTATTTCAAATATAGAATAGACTGTTGCACAAATGATTTGCTTGGTCTAAGTTCAGATCAATTAAAAGCAATGTAAAAAGCTATGTAATAGCAATACGCAGGCACAAGATGAACTGCCCAGTTTTTACGACATCCACCCAATCAGATTTCAGACTCTGTTGGTTCATTTCTTCAAGCCGGTACCACATATATTTCCAAGCTGCATTGTTTTTCTTTTTCATTCAAACGACTTCTCGTGTTTGCTACACGTTATCGAGTCCTACTCGTATAAAACCTTTCCTAGGTATACCCTCTATATGCATGTGGATATGTGTGTGTCCATGCTCATGTGTATGTGCGCTTATGCCTAAGCAATATCTGTGCCTCTTCCCCTTATTCCCCATGATCTTTCTGTTTCCTTGTTCCATAACTGCCACCCACAGGCTGCAGAAAATTGTCACAACCGTGTACTCCCACAGCGTTACTGGGATGTGAACCCTCCGTATGCCTCATATCCAATATTGCCCCTCTTTCTACTTTTCGTTCATTCACTCTGTCTGAGTCGCCCAAGTATCAGTGCCAGCATGACCCCATCACTACCAACCGGTTTTCACCCATGACCCTGTTACTGCTATAGCCATCCCCTTGATTTAGCCTAATCACACGTCCTTCTTCGGTCGATACTCGCAACTGTTGCCGCTGCCGACTGGATCGCTGACATCAGAGTAGTCGTCTGGCCTTCTTTGTCCTCTTGGTCCAGTGATAGAATCGCCGGCCATTACTTCCTGCCTAACAGCAACGCCGGCGGCGTCGCAGGAACAAGCCGTGATTTAGAGTTAGATTGCAGGTCTCTTCTTCGTCCTTCTACCGTCTCCGTCTGAAAAGAAGAATTTGGTTTTCGAACTTTCCTTTTAGAGACGGCTTCTTCGTTGAATCTGGTCTATTTATAGTGTTCCGCAGCAGTGACTACATAATATATTACAGAGCGCTGCCTTCATTGCATGCTATATATATACATGTCTACACATAAATAAAACTCTCTCAGTGAATCGTCGCCATGTAGCTAGCTCATCATTCTACGAGCTCCCAGTAACTCAGCAGCGGAACTGCTGGGTGCGATGTGATGAACCTTGGATCTGCCTTGGCTGTGCCTGCCTGTCTCCCTGTGTATACTTAGTGTGTGTTCGCCAAGAGGGGTTCCCATGTAGGCGAAGCACGCTTAATAGCTACGCGGACGAGCCCCTTACTATACATTCTATGCATCCTATATATCCCCTTTCTGTCGCTTTCATTCTATCCAGCCGATTCACTGCCATTCAGCAGGCTATAGGAAGTCCTCCAGAAACGGGAGGACTCTTTTACCCACTATCCGCCCAAATAGTACTTGTGGTGGGGTGGTTGCGCTGAACGGATCTTGCAACTCCTTCTCTATCTCCTTTTTACTCTCTTCTTCTTTGGCCGAAGTGATTGAACCTCTGGGCCGAAACACTGACTCCACCGTCTGTGCTGGTTTGCTCCTCGATGCTCCTCCAGTCGTTTGCAGCGCACTGCTCGAGGGATCACTGTGTGCCTATCTGCTTGCCGGTCGCTGCGGGTCTGAACTGTTAGTCGTCCTATTCATTGGCCCCGTGGCATTCGGTCAGGGTTGCCCGCTATCGCTTCGCTACGCCTGTACGAACTTCTAGTCTGTTTGTGTGCGCTACGAGGAACAGTGCGCTTGGAACTGTTCCTCGCAAATGCAGGAACGTCAGCAGCAGCACTTCTATAGTTATCATCAACTGTTATTGCCGCTTCTGGCCGACGATCTTTCGCTTTCGGTATAATCGGCACGAGGAATACTCCCGGCACTTTTGCTGGTTCACTATTGCTACGGAGCTCAATAGGGCATAGCCGAACATGAGAGTACCGTCGAACATGGGGCATAGTCTAGTCATTCGGCTACACTACATGAATTTATACCTCAAATAAAATATGTAGTAACGCAGGTTTTTGTTACATGAACTAGTTGTCATTGAAAGAAGGCGATAGGCATATGATGAACAGGGAAGACGCTGCCAGAAGTGGACACTAAAATCTCAATATTTTACACCGTCAAATTGGACAAGGTTTTGGTTCCATCTATTTTACTGTGGGCTATACTACTTATAGTAGTGATTTTTCTCAGCGATCGTTGCTAACCCGAACAGTCGCCAATACCTAACCTTTGGAAACCTGAAAACTGTCAAACGAAAGGCAACTAATAAGGGGGGGGACTGCTGGCAAATTCGATGTTAGGCTATCGAACCTTATCATATAGTTGTACTATAAATAGTACGAGGGTGCTATAGCATTTACAGTGTGCAAAAGCGAACGTAGTGAAGCATAATGTTGATCTCGATATAGAGCTGAAGAAGTTCTATAAGCATCCTTATAAGCTGAAAATAAGCAGGTTTTATGCGGTTCGATGGCTCAGGAGCTATGTGCGATTTCGACAGTAGCAATAGACTAGTTACCTGATGCTCCTGGTGGCGCATCAGAAGCACCGATATGGAAGATTCACTAACGCACTGAGGTACAAAGACGGTCTGAGCCACACCTTACTATGTGTCACCTCAGCTATTTCAAGTGACACAGGTTAGCAAATGCAGCGAATCATATCTACTAGAGAAAACGTAATAAAGATGATCGCGGGCAAGAGCGAAAAGTGGCACGAATTAAAGGAAGCAGATTACTCGTTAAGTTTGACGAAAGCTCAACCACGTGCTATGGGAGTATGGTGAGTGCGGAAAGAGCGTATATCTTCAGCTTGTATAGGTTTGTACGTCTTCATTCACTTTGCATAGGCCGCTGAAGGAACGAATCTTAGTCGAGCTTCATGGTAACGGGTCTGACTTCGTTTCTGTGTTTTACTGTGACGTACACTTCGAAGTTTTAGACAAACATTGGAAAGACATTCCGTTTGACTCTAGTTATCGAAACTTGAAAGTTTTCTTCTCAATCATTTCACAATAGACAACATACCGTGTGAAGTGCATTTGCTGCTTCTGTCGCTTGTCTATTCAATATGTTTTTCAGCTACAGTTGTCCCACCGCACGAAAAAAGAGCATCGAACCGATGAGCTTCACAACGACTGCGCTCTGTTTATGCAAATTACCTCCAGACCCCGATCCATAAATTAACTTTCTGTAAACCAAGTTAATTACAGTAAAGTAACACCCTGTAGGGCTGTTCGTTCGGTATTCTACCTAGATAAGGTAAGAAAATACCAGACCTCATTTACTAGATAACCCTATACGCTCCTTTCCCACCAGTCAGCTGCTATCGGCTTCACTTATCAGCAGACATATAAATAGTTGGACAGGAAAACATGCGCAGTAATACGCTGCTGTTCTTAGCTTTCTAATACCATTAGTGGCTAAGGAGCACTTGTAGTTTTTTTCACACGTTGCCACTAGATTCATGCCATTCCTGAATGGTTTCTTTCAATGGTTATTTTGCCCCGCATTCAGTGAAACAGACCAACGAAAGTCCATGGGTCGCCAGCCCAACAAGCCCAATACTCCGTCCGGGCCTCCAGGCCTGCCTTTCATCCACATTGTTCTGTCGTTGTGAGGTCATTGCCCTTTTCTTCGATCGTAGTCGATGAAGCCTCAGATGCCCAAAGGAAACGGGTCCCCACAGAGAGCTACCAAGCCACGTGCCCCCTAACTACCTCCTACCGCTTCGAGCGCTGCTACTGCTAGTGCTGCTCTCTGTATTTATATCTATTTCAGTAATAAAAGCGGCGAATTGAAGCCCTGGACCCAACTCAATTCGATCGGTCGCTATAAGTCAAATGCCTATTTTTAGTATGACGGGTGTCACGATGGGTCGATGGGCATTGGACGAGAGTGTTCTATATAAGCGATCACTT